CGCAGTGACCTGGCTCCAGCAAGGAGACCACACGGCACATTCTGACCCACTCTCTGCAGGCTTTTATATTCTAATGGGGATAACTAACTAAGATGCCACAACCAACTATGTATGTATTATATGGCGCTCAGCAATACAAGAGGCTAAGAATGGATGCGAGCTAAAATGCTATTTCTTTTCAGCCGTGTGCGGAAAGAAACCCTTCTGCCACAAATTCTCTCTCCCCATTTTGGTCTGAATCTTAATTATTACTGTATTCATTAAAAATACCTCGAACCTTTTATATGCACCCTGTTCTCATTCTAATGAGGAGATTCATTCTTGGAAAGAAAACTCCGAAACGCAACCCACGTTTTCTGTCGTTGATTTTCACTGGCTGTTCCTTGGGATGGTTTTTGTTTTTCAACGGTTCCTCCTGAACGTTGTTTTGAAGTCTCTGTTGCAGGGCCCTGGAATTCAAACAAATGCAAAATGTTATGAGCAATATACAAATTTACCAGAAACAAATAGTCTCCGCTCACTGAGCGAAAAACATTACCTGAGGGGCCAGAGGGAACTGTAATTTGTTTGGTGGATATTCTTTAATGAGCTTTGTTGTGTAGTCCGAAAATGTTAGATTGGCTTGGATTCGCATATACATAGAAGGAAGTCTTTCCAGAACCTCTTTCACTTCTCTGCAAGAATTAAGGGTATTGTTCTGAAAGTGCAGTCCTCCTCAATATCGTTATAGGGATGCGCCCCAGCATTCGCCTCCGTTCGTAATCATAGAGGTAGTTTGATTGTGTATGGCCTATAGAATGACTTGCGGTGGCCAACCGATGTATTACAAATCAGTGCTTCCGTCCTTTCAGTCGAGTCTGTTACCAATAGGCCGGCCCGGAGGAATGGAAGGCTCATTGACTCGGGCTGGTGTCAATCCAGGATTCAGATCTCGGACCATGCGTATGATAATGCGCCGCTCAACACTACGCTAGCTCTGCTCATTGATACAGATGACTTCGAATATTCAAGTGTTACTCAAGTAGTCACCGCTGCTCCGGCTTCTGTCCAAAAAATTAATCGAGTACATCATAAAACGGAAAAGGTTCCGTGGTGAAGTCACTGGGTGATTGTTGCTCGAACCTACCAACAGCCTAGGTTTGAACGGCAACCCTTACTGGTTAGCTGTCTCCCCGCCAGAAATATAGTTTGCCAATCAGTTGTTTGCCCTGTAAAGGCATTCCATTCAGGACCTTGTTCATAGTCGCTACAGGGTATCCGATACCACCTGCCCGAGGTCACATGTGGTATTAGAGGACAGGAAAGCCGGATCAACTTTTCCTACAAGCACCGAATCACCTTTACAGGTTACTGGGGGGTCATTTAGCGTCAGAATTGAGATCGCGTAAATGGCGTGATCGCATATCGACCGAGCTGTATGAAGAACGCTAGAACTGCAATAACGAGACAACTCGTCCGCGACTGCCGCGTGCGGCGTGAACGGCAACCCTTACTGTATACATACATGAAACAAAAAACAAGTACCCCATCTGGTCCCGACACTTACCCAAAAATGCCTCTCGACACTTAATTGGACACCTTAAGCCTTTGACTGAAAAGGCACAGACAAGCATAAGAAAATTCCAACGAGCTACATGGGGGCATACGTTCGAAACTCGCCACTGGCCTACCAATGACCTTACTGTATAGTTGTCTCGCCGCACAATGTATACTTCATCAATTAATTGGTTGTCTCGTGAGGGCATTCCGTTTGGGACTTTGCTCATCGTCACCCCAACACTCTCACCTGCCTGGAGTACTTGTAGTATCAGAGTACAAGAAAGCCGGGCAAAACCGATCTAACTGCCCGTCTCCCCATGGCGTGCACCGAAATCGGTGAGCCCCAATAGTTCTCATACAGGCCTCTTAGGAGTAACGTATAGACGTAGAGGGACTCACCTCGTTTTGATGTCTATTTGTTCAAGAGGAATGGAATTCATGTATGTTTGAATGATCGTAATCAATGAACTACCAATAAGGTTAACACATGTTCTGAAATTCGATGTCGATCTGTATCGATTTTCCTGCGAACTTCTGTTGACTGCAAGTGAAGAAAACTTACCTGTAATGATTAATCCTACATTCGAGTGGTGGAATATAATCCCGTGGATTAGCGATAACCAAACTTGTATTCGCTTCTGATGTGTACTCATTTTGAGTTTGTTCACGAAGAAATTGTTGGAAATCTTCCTGAAGCCTAGGAGAATGGAATTAAAATGAGAAGAATTGGAGAATCAGAGGGAGAAGAAATGGAGTGTAGAAGAAATAGAAAAGTATGAGGAGGAAAAAGAAACAAATTATGAAAAATAGCATCATTGGCGTACCCTTGTACCGGATCGATCTATGGATTTTAGTTTAAAGATTTCGCCAATGGCACAAGTTGCCTCAAACATATTCAGTGTCATTGGCAATACATTTCTAGTTCGGCACTTTTCAATCAGCTGAAACAAGATCGCATCGCAATTCTAAATGAAGATAAAGACGAAGCTTCCCCATCCTGAAATATTTTAAAGGCACAGTTCACGATAAAAGTGATTTCTGAGATTCCCCCGCGTGATGAATTTGAGGCCCCCTGTATACCATATCTGACACTATTATGTCGGAGAACGGCCTAGTTAGGGAGTTTTGTAGGCTCAAAGATTGACTCGTGTCTATCCTCGGACGAGTTTCACCGGCATTGTAGAGTCTGC